TGCAGTCCAGGAACACCTGCACTTTTAAGAACAACACTTATGCTTTAGGTTTTAAAAGTAATGTGTTAAGGTCATATTGTTGTGATGGTAAACACGCAAAGGTGCACATCTGACTAGCTTCCCAATATTAAAAACTGTCTTAAACAGCTTGAGTTGACTCCAGTGTGCTGGATTTGTGAAGGAAACAGTGGGTTAATTATCATCAAGGTAAATAAACATCTTTGCAGGGAACGCTTTCCTAGTACAAACAGTTTAACAAATGCTGTTTTTCCTAATGAACATTTTTAATCTCAATGTTACAAGTCAACACTTTTGAAGCTATTATGACAAAATTTTCAATATTACAAGAAAATGGATCTTCTTAGCAAACAGATGTAGACAGAAACTCAACTTTCCAAAGGCAAGACATAAAATAAGTATAGATTGAACTTAAATTTTATGGTAATTGGTATGCAAATATTCGCCAGCATTCTCCTAATCCATCTAACAAGATGTAATGGCTAGTTTATTGCTTGTCTTCTTAAAGCATCTGTGTCAACAGACTTCCACTTTTTTTTTCAAGGTTCTTCATTAACAGCCAGGCAAAACCCATAGCTTCTGCACTGGCTACATTTTCTAGCCAAGGCTGAATGAAAAGGTATGAGCTTCTTTCTGCTTGCACAAGCGGGATCTGAATATTTACACGCACTGAATGAGGATGCTCCCCGCATTGGCGTGGGCCGGAGCTGTCCGAGGTGCTGGCCAGGACCAGCTGTGGCCCCAGGCTACCCATCCTGGAGTCTTGGTTTCACCTTTGATGCCACTGGTGTCTCAGATGTCAGCGCTGAGAGTGACCCAAGTGTCAGCTTACTCATCATGGCCTTGGCCCCTGTGTAAGCCTCTGCCCTTGTCCTGACCACATCTCCGAGGTTCACTGATCACCTTTGCATCCTCCTGGATCCTAACCCACCTGCCAATTCCTGGGATTCTTCTGGGCTCCTTTATGCAGGGCCCCTCTCAGTCATTCTCTACCCTTTCGGGCCTCCACGTCTTCCACACCCCATCAGAAGATCAATTCTGGACCACAACCAAAGCCTGAGCCAATGTGGCCCTGTGTCATCTGCCAGTCTCACTTCCCCAAATAACTGAGTTCTTGAAACAGGGTCACAGCTCTTCCTCCTTGACCTCCTTGCCCTGCTCAGCACAGAGCAGCAGGGTACATGGGGCCTCCAGCTCTGCAGAGGGAGCACACGGTTGATGATCGAATGCTGACTAGGTGTGAGGGGCTGGGTAGGTGCCTCGGCCTTCTCTGCCTGCCTCCCCCCGCCACCCCGACTGCAGGGAGTCACTGTCTGTCTGGGGCACAGATCCCGCACTGGCTGGGGGTGTAAATTAAGGAATAATAGACCTGCAGAAGCATAAGCCTTCAATGATGGGGAATGTGTTTGTCTGCTAAGAAGCAATTTCAGCGAAAATTAACTCCATTTCGACGGGAAGAGTGAGGCTTGGCATAAGCTGGCCAATCCCAGAGGACAATAAAATTACTTCATCAAAGCTCTGCTGGCTTAAATTAACCAAGCGAGCAATCCAGGATCCTGGCTAGATACAGCAAGTAACTAGGTTTTAATGAACAAAAATAGCTACTCGTATAAATGAGAAAAAGAAGCCACAGCCTACTGTTAGCCCAAGCACACAGAATGCCCATCTCAGGGACATCTTTCCCTAGAGGTTCGACATGGCCATGAGGGTCCTCTCCAGCTTCCAAGAACAGACTTGGCTGTGAGTCCCAGGACTTGTTCTTGGCCACTGATACACTGTCCACTGTGGGTTTGCCTTCAAGGACTGTGTTCTTACTGATGAAGTCTTATCTGCACTGTCCTCAGTGGCTTTGTCCTCAGGACTGCATGCTTGCTTGACATCTTGGACAGAAGGTCCTCTCTGGATTTAGCCTTATGACCAGCTACTTAGGTCCTGGGAAAGACACTTCAGTTTCCTCTGTGGTTGTCTCTTTGGCTGTCCATGCCCAAGACATTTTGTTCTTTTTTTTTTTTTTTTTTTTTTTTTTTTTTTTTTTGGGATTTCA